CCTGCGAACAAACAGATTCTAATCATGGTTAATAACATAAAATTAGCTTGACATAAAATCTTTTCTTGCTGCCTCTTTTGACTTTGTCTCCACTCCTGCTGTTGCAGGTTTCACCAACAACCCCAAAGCTCTCCCTCCTCTTGCGCTCTTCTTCCACTGCCCCTTTGGCCCAGCTGACCTTCCTTTCTGGGACCTGCGCTGTTGAGAGGGCCACAGCACACTTTCTCAAAGCTGGGCTGCCCAAGCTGCTAGCACCCTCAGCAGGGTGGTCGGAGAACCAGACGGAAAGTGATTACTATTTTTTTAAATAATAAATATAAATTGAACTGCAAGAACAACACATTTTTTTACATTTAGACAATTTAGTTATATTCTCAACTCAAAAGTATTATAACCAACATTCCTTTTTTTAATATATAAATAATTTTATTGAGGGTTCTTACAGCTCTTGTTTAACAATCCATATACCAACTGTGTCAAGCACATTTGTATATATGTTGCCATCATCATTTTTCAAAGCATTTTCTTTGTAGTTGAGCCCTTGGTATCAGCTTTTTTTTTTTTAATTAAATCATTTTATTGGGGGCCTGTACAACTCTTATCACGATCCATACACCCTTCCATTGTGTCAAGCACATTTGTTGCCATCATCATTCTCAAAACATTTACTTTCTACTTAAGCCCCCAACATTCTTTTAAAACTGTTTTTCAACACAAAATTTGAATAAGCTTTACCAATTGTAAACTAAACCCAAAAGATCACACATCAAAAGAACTTGGGGCTTGAAATGTAGATGGCTGCTCAGCACCTGTGCATCAGCCACTGTACATAAGTGTGGGGGGAGGGGCACTGCGGGTAGTATGGTTTGTTTTTAGCACTTAGTACCTGCCCCCAGCAAACCCAGCTGCAATGCTACATTATTCAAACTTTATATTTACTTCTAAGCTCTGTTAATTAACCCGCAGGGTAAAAAAATTTAGGTTTATTGACTGGTGACAGCTTTCCAACCATTAATCATAAAAAGGTTATGAAGACCTGGGAAAAGAAAAGAAGAAGTAACACAAAACAAAAAGACCATAAAACCAGCATTTCTCACATTGGACAATTCATGGTAATGAAAGCACCAGAGCTCTCCTCCATTAACCTAAATTATCTTCTGAGCAAACGGAACTAGTGTGCTTAAGCCATGTGCTTACCACAGAACCAAATCTACAAAACACATTGTTTAAAGTTTGTATTGTGATTTGAGTGAAGGTTTACAGAGAAAATTAGTTTTCCATACAAAAAGATAATTAAGTTTCAAATTTAGCAGGATTAATATATTTTGGCAGATTGTATTATTTCTTAGAGAGTAAATCTCAAGGCTGGATTTACAAGAAGGCTGTCCCAGGGTCCATGCCTGTATTTTGATTTCTAATATACTTCACACAGAGAGTGGCCATTGCACACCTATGTCCCCACAAAAATGATGGGACATACCTCAAGCCTTTTGTCACTAACCACTGCCATTGAGTCCACCCCAACTTATACCAACCCTACAGGAAAAGTAAAACTGTTCTCTTGGGATTCCACGGCTGTACATTTTTACAGAAAGACAGCCTCATCTTTCTCCTAGCGGGTGCTAACTGCGGGCTAGCAGTCCAACACTGATCTCTACTGCACCTTCAAGGCTTCTTCTTGAGTCCCTTGTTTAAATTTAATCAGACTTCACACTTATCCACATCTGAGAGCAAACAGATTCTGATCACGATTAATGACATAAAATGATCTTGCACAATAAAAAACTGGAAGACCGCATTTTTTGAAAAGGTTATTCATGGTTGTCTATTCTAATCACTAACAGGAAAACAGTATTTGGTGTTAGACTTCTTCAGTTTACAGATGGGAAAAAATTCAACTTTCAACACCTTCACTGTCAAACTGCTGAAGAAAACCAATTTGAAAGCGTCTTCTCCATAAATCCAATGATCACTGCCAATGTGTTCAAACAAAACTCTCTTTCTTAACGAAGAAAGGCCCATGGTAGCACTTGTTCCTCAGCAGGTATAGACAAATTACTTACTGTGTTATATTCACCTGGGTTTTTTTCTTGTAGTAAATATTATTCTAAGAAAACCTGTCATTTGAAAATCATTACCATCTAAGATTTTTGATTTTATAATTCACAAAAAAACTGAAAATGTGTGCTACATGGTCAGAGTCATATTCTCTTTGGGATATGAAAGTCCACCAGGAGAACCTTCCAAGTCCAATGTTAGCCCCATTAAAGTAAAGAAGCACTTGGAGCTCAAATGATTTTAGATACAAATGAAAACAGAATGGGATGGTAGTACAATTAGGTATGATAGTACACGTCATCTGCTTTAGAAAGTGCTTGTACTATTTTATGTATATATAAAATTCTTTGTATATATATGTGTGTGTGTGATATAAATATATATATCAACTCACTGCCACCTTTGAGTCATTGCTGACTCATACCGACCCCCTGTGAGTTCTGAGGCTGTAACTGCTTAGTGGAATAGAACACCCAGTCTTCTCCACTATTACTCAACCATAAAGAGCCTGCCTGCTATGACACGGACTGACCTAGAAAGCATTATGCTAAGAATTGTAGTCACAGGACAAACATTATCTGATCCCACTTATATAAAATTATAGTATAGGCATAAGTACAGAGATCAAAGATTATTAGTGCTTACTCAGGGTAGGCAGGAAGTGATTGGGCTAAGCTGAGGCAAGCCAGGACCCTGCTTCCCTGCGCATCCGTGGAGGTCAGCAAGTTGCCCCTGGAATGAGGAGACCGAGAAACGGCACCAGGGAAGCCTGACTCCCCAGTAACCGGATAGCCTACCTGCCAGAGCGGATAAACGCCATCCTGGGCCATAACCCTTACTGCTGCAGCACGGACCTCCCTCTCCCCGCTTTCCTTTAAAAACTCCAGACCCCGGGCATAGCCCGCGATTCCCCTGGACTACTTGCTAGGTCATGGGGTTTCACCTGGGAGCTCTCCCCTTATAAAGCTACTTCTGTTTCTGCTCTCCCTTTGTCCTGTCAGTTATCTTTGTCCGTCTCCCGTGCCTCAATTGACCTCTCACTCGTCCTGTGCCTCAGTTTGTCTTTACAGGAAGGAAACAGACTTACTGCTTGGGGACACTGAGGTCCTGCTAAGAGTGGTGAAAATATTTGAAAACTGACAGTAGTGATGGATATTCATGAAGAAAGCAATTAAAGTCACTGAATTGTACGTGTAAAAATGTTGAAATGGCAAACATTTTTGGCATATACTCACCCACCATTGATCAAACCAACAAATGTAATGTTCCTCACAACTCTTCTTAAGATGATTGAACTATAGCAGGGCCCTACCGCGCTTGCGCCCTAAAACTCGCAGGCAGTTTCTGCAGCTGGGAACTGACACAGAGTGGAATGACTCCCACACACAAAACTGGCACTTGGAAGTCTCAAAAGAAATGTCAAATTTGAAACACAGGTAAACCCTGACCTTCGACTTCAACCCATAAACTAATTTATAAAGCCAAGGTGTAGTCAAGGATCCACAAGAACTGTAGAAGGTCAGATAAAATATCTATCTACCAAGCAGAACAATAGCAATTGCATGGGCATACCAGGCAGTACCAAGTGCACAGGAGACTAACGGCTATGTGGTCATCTGCCACAGATTTATTTAGTTAAAATAAGATAAAATTAGCATTTTAAAAGCCATTTACAACTTGACTGCAAAGTGACAAAGCAGTCTTTTAAAAGTGGCCATCAAACAAAGCCGAAAGTCAGTTTCTCCTTAAGCACAACCCTGAGGACATCATTTCCAGAAAAAGCAAAAGATACTCAGTGCTCCACTTGACTGTAGGTTTCCACACTCTCTATAGAGCACAACTCTCTCTGCACCTTACCTGGTGTCTTTACCACATGCCCAGCTGCAAGGTCCAGCGCCATCCATGGTATCTTCAGTTTTGACAGCTCTAGAGAAAGAAAGAGCATCCTTTGAACAGGCTTTTACCAACAAAGTTGTCCAAACATCAGACTCCCATAAAAATAACGGCCTGCTACTACTAAGTACATTTGAAAATTTGTAACGGATTCATACAATATGAATCATAGAAGTGAAAACAGCATTACAAAGAAACTTACATTTTATCATTCCCACCGTATCTTTCAAATTCACGTTTCCCTCTCTGGTCGAAACCATCAAAAATTCTGTTCACAGGACCGCCTTTCCCTCGGTTTCGCATCCCCCCTCTTGCACCTCCTCGTCCTCTCAGGGGTCGATCTCGATCAAACCTATCAACTGGTCTAAGGAGAAAGTGGCAGAATAAAAAGCAGTAAATTGAAGTAAAAGTCTATGGCTTTTCTGAGAAAAAATTCCAGCAGGACATAAGGCAATATCATATTGGGAAGAAGGGTCTCTTGAATAAGAGCACAACAGCTCTTCTTTACTGAACACATTCTGAACCTGGAATTGTTCCGAGCATGTTACATGTATCACTAATCACAATAAAATATTATACAGCTATCACTCGCATTTTATATATGAGGAAACTGAGGCATAGAGGGATTAAGTTCGTTGCCCAAAGTCACACAGATCACACAGAACTGACATCAGAGAAGCAGGTCCTAGGTAGGCGCTATACGAATCCCAATGGGACATATTTTCTCTCTCACTTGTTCATGTATACAGAAATTCTAAGGTTCATTCTAGCTTTAATATAACCTTTAAGTTAAATTTAGAGTGATTTATATGTTAAGAAAAATGGCTAAAATTAAAATTATCCTCCTTCCCAAATCTCTCTCCCTTTACGGTCAAAATCCCCACTGACACACATTTAGCTGATGACATTTGAGACTGAACACACTAATCTGTTGTTGTCTGACTTCTACCCTCACGGCCCCACATAAACTTTCAGGGTTAGCTGAAGACCTCTTGGTTGTTAAAATAACACCTCCTGTCTTTATGTCAGAGCCCTGGGGGCATAGTGGCTACACATTGGGGGGCAGTTCAAATCCACCAGCAGCTCTGAGGGAGGAAAACTGGGCTTTCTACTCCTGTGTGAGTCAGCATTGACTCACTGGCAGTGATTTGAGTCTTTATGTCATCATTTGACACTGTTGACTAATTTTCTGACTTTTCTTTCACTGCTTGTCCTTAAAATTTTTTTAAAAAGTTTTGTTATACTTGATAATACCCAAACATGGTAGTCATTTACAAAGTTTTGAAAGAGGAAAAATCTGTGCCTTGTCTTTTCCTCTTGGAATGAAAATAAAATAAATACACCAAAACATTCACCAATACGACACTTCACATTTCTACTGTTGGGGTTACTTTTCATGTTACGCCACTTTATCGACATTCTTTTCCAAAGCATCTTACCTTTCTCATTAAAAAAAAAAAAAAGTATCTCGACAAAGCAGAGCTGCCTCCCTCAGTCTTTCCAATACTTGTTTGTCCTGCAGTGTGTCATCACCCGGGCTTCTCATGCCACTACACACCACAGGCTTCTATGCATACTGATGCTGGCACCTGTGTCTTTCTTACATGTCTCTGGCTCCAGGCTACGGAGCCAGTGCCTCCTGGACATCTCCACTTGCATACCCAGGGCCCTGTAGGTACTAAATGGGGATCCTTGACCCACTTCCTCCTTCCGGCTACTTCCATCACCAGGTCTTTTTCTGTGGACTCTTCACTCTCCCTGACTAGACACTAAACTCCTGGGGGAACAACCTGGTCTTTTTCATCATCATAACCCCAGTTTAATAGGATACATTTTTGTGTGTGAAATTGTCAAGCTGTCAAAAGACACATAACAAATGAAATATTAAATAGAGATCCTAGCATCAAAAAATCTAGTGGCATAATGACTTGAAAATCAGAACTAGAGGCATATCCTATTTTACTTTTAGGACCAAAATTATAACATTAAAATCTACTATACTACATATAACAGGAGCCCTAATGGTATTGTGGTTATGGTTTGGGCTGCAATCTGAATGGCTGACAGTTTGAAACCACCAGCAGCCTGGTGTATGCTCAGCTGCCCATCAAAGGGGTGATTCAGGAGACTGCACAATGACAGAAAGGTTCATGGCACATGGCAAAAAAGTACAGGTTCTATCACAGTAGTCAGTATGGCTCCAATTATGTCTAAAAGCATTTATAATTCCATTGAGGGAAGAATCGTTAATAGTGATTACCTCTGAGTGGCAGGAGTATGAGTTTTTTCTTCTTGGACTATATCTGTATTTTTCTCAATTTTCTACAATGTATACCTTATTTTTGTGACAAGTCAGTATCTATTATATGAAGCCATTTCCAGAGTCCTCTCTAAATTCAGCTAGGGCACTGAAGAAGAGAAACTTTTTAGGGGAGGGTTATCAGTAAAATCAGAATGAAATCCCCTCCCATAAAGAACCACAAGGCATGAACAAGGAAGACACCCTGCTACCTGACCCCTCCGACCTTGGGGCCTCTGATGTCTGCCTCCGGACTTTCCTTCTCTGGCAGCCGTCAGATGAGCTCATGGAGTTGGGGCTTTGGAGAAAGGTCCAGAGTATAGTATCGCCATAAGGACCTTTGTTGTACTTCACACATCAGACCAGGGAGAAGTTATAAGGTAAGGGGCCAGAGTCCAGTTCTTTCAAAGGTGATGGGAAGAGGAAATCAAGGAGAGGCCAAGTGACAAGGAAGTCAAGGGAGAACTTTCCAAAGAAAGAGTGGTGTGCCCTGGAGTCAGTCAGGATGCTTCCCATTCTCAGTGCATAGCACAGTTACCAAGAAATCAATGCCATAGGCACTGTCCTCACTTAGGCTCAAGAAGAACAAAAACTGCTTTCAGGGGAGGAGAGAAAAGTGGGCCCATAACAAAGCATTACAAAGATGGGTAGTGTACCACAGAGAACGACACTAGACCTTCTGGTGGGGGATAGGAACCGAATGACTATACCCAGAAGGAAGCAAACCACGAAGGACAAAGAGAAAGTGGCAGTTGGTCTAGACTCTGTCTATATGGGCACACCAAGGCCAGAGGATGAGGTCCCTGCATGGAGCTGCTGGGGCACAGAGAGGACTGTGGGACTACCAACAGCTCAAGACATGTTTCCCCCAACTGGAGCATACAGAGACAGGACAGTAATGGAGACACATGGTGTGGAGACAGTGTGGGACTGGAGCATAACAGATCAGCAATCAGAGTAAAGTCGAGCACAAAGCCCCTGAGAAGCCCCAAGAATGGACTTTGGACAAGGAGGGGCAGCCCCCAGGTCCCCCTCAGGACCAGGGGGAGGGTCCCATGGGGACTAGCAAACAGACCTGGACTTATCTAGGGTCTTTTTTTCTTTCTTTTCTCTCATCTTTTTCTCTTCCCTTTTCTTTCTTCAACCATAGGTTTTCTTATTGTTCGGACGAGGACATGTATGAGTGGCCTAATTATATGGGTTGGACCACGGGAGGGAAGCCAGGAGAGAAGGCAATGGGGCCAATTACCCCAGAAGATAGAGGGGGAGGGAGGAGGGTGGGGAGAAGAGGGTGGTGAGCAGATGGCATCATGGACAGGGGAGCAACTAGGGAAGCGGATCCAGCATCTAGGAGAGGGTAGAGATCCTGTGAGTATTAGAGCAACACCAAGCTAGTGAGAGGAAGCACT